ACAACCTGGGATTGATCAGTCAACTATGGTTAGTACAACCAAACCCAAGCCAGATGGAGACAAGGGGAGCAGTGAGACTAAGAGGGAGGACAAGGACTTGGTGTGTGATTATTGTAAGAAGACTAAGCATACCAGAGACACTTGCTAGAAGCTCTACCCACACCTCATACCAGCTCGGGTCAAGAACAAGAAGGAAAATGCAAATGTGGCAATTACAAAAGACTCTTCGGGACCCCTTACCCAAGCTGATTGGGAGACCATTGCAGTAGTAGCAGTCAAAACCGAATTGGAGAAGTTTGGACAGCTTATAAGTAAGAAGGATTCAGCTAGTTCTAGTTCTTCAGATGGATAGCAGAGTGCAGGAGCTAATCACACCACCTCTTTTGCCCAATACAGGTAGCTCATATGCAACTACAAATTATGCATCCACCTCAGGTAAGGAGGGACCTCCCTGGATTATAGACTCAGGAGCATCTAAACACAACTAACATACCTACCATTTTCAGTTCTTACCAATTGTGCTCTGGTAGAGACAGTCTCTACAGCAGATGGTTCACATGTCCCTATTGTTGGTAAAGGGACAGTTAGAGTGACCAATAATATTACTTTATCCTTTGTCTTAAATGTCCCTAGACTTCATACTAACCTTCTTTCTGTTATTTCTTTGACAAAATATTTGAATTGTTCAGTGATCTTCCTCCCTGGTAATTGTGTTTTGCAAGACCTGGGTCAAAGAGGACGATTGGGAGTGGTTGTGAGGTGAATGGAGTCTACATGAGATACCAAGAAATCAGAGCCACCATATTAGTAGCATTAGTAGTAGTGGATCAGAGTCAGTGAGTCAGATTAGGCTCTAGCATAATCGGTTAGGTCATCTTTCTTTCAAGTCATTAAAGTTTTTGTTTCCAAAGTTGTTTGAGTCTGTCTAGTTATCTAGTTTGGAGTGTGAAAGTTGTCAATTGGGAAAGCATTGTAAACATTCTTTTAAATCAAGTAATAAAAGTACTTTTGCTTTTGATGTTGTTCACACTGATGTATGGGGACCATATCATATTCCTTCCATGGGTAGCTACCATTATTTCCTCTTGTTTGTGGATGATTACACGCGGTATTCTTAGACATATTTAATGAGATCCCGTGATGAGGTGCCTAATTTGGTACAACAGTTTCACCAGATGGTTCTCACACAATTTGGAGTGAGAACTAAGGTCTTCAGATCAAATAATGCCAAAGAATACTTTGAGAAGGATTTGGCCACATACCTTTTGGAGCATGGTGTAATTCATCAAAGTAGTTGTGCATATACACCGCAACAGAATGGAGTAGTAGAGAGGAAAAATAGACACATTGTGGAGGTGGCAAGAAAGTCTTATGGTGTGTGCTTCAGTTCCTATTCGTTTCTGAGGAGATGCAGTTCTCACAATTGTGCATTTGATTAACCGTGTCCCTTCACATACTTTGGGGTTTAAGGTGTCATTCAATCATATTTTTCCAGATGGGGAGGTGTTTCATATACCTTTGAGGGTTTTTGGGTGTGTTTACTTTGTTCACATTCTTGGCCCTCATCGCAAGAAATTGGATCCTAACGCCAAGAGATGTGTTTTCCTTGGGTATGCTCAAAACCGAAAGGGGTATTGTTGTTATGGTCTTGTGTCAAGGAGCAGATTTGTCACTATGGATGTTACTTTTTTTTAGTCTGCTTTCTTTTTCTCTGGTGGTTCTCCTCAGGGGGAGAGTTCCATTACCTGATCCACTACAGGCAGCCACACAACACTATTAGCGTTGCTGCTAGAAGAGGGTCGATTCCACACATGGTCAACTAGAAGAACCTGCACCACTCTCTATCAATCCTTCTGAGGTTCCAGATTCAGCAAATACAGTTCCAGGTATTCCCCTTGAGCCTGAGCTGAGCCTGTTACTTTTCCTAATGATAATGCTTTTATACCTAACACTATTGTTGTAGCCGATCCCATTGACCTTGATCTTCCCATTGCACTTCGCAAAGGGAAGAGAAAGTGTATTGCCCATTGCATCTCACACCATCTCTCCTATAATGCCTTATCATCCTTCTACCGAACATTCCTTTCTTCCTTGGATTTTGTGTCTATACTCAGGAATGTTACTGAAGCTCTCTCCAAATTTGAGTGGAAAATAGCCATGCAAGAAGAGATGAAAACCTTGGTTAAGAACCAGACTTGGAGATAGTTGATCTTCCTCCAGACAAGGAGACAATTGGATGTAGATGGGTGTTCATTGTAAAATGCAGGGCTGATGGCAGTATAGAGGTACAAGGCAAGGTTGGTCGCAAAAGGCTATACACAAACCTATGTTGTTGATTATCTGGAGACCTTTGCACCAATTACTAAGATGAGTTCAGTTCGAATACTCCTGTCTCTAGCAGCCACCTATTCATGGCCCGATTTCAGGTTGATGTTAAAAATGCATTCCTTAATGGTGATTTGCAGGAGGTATATATGGACATCCCAGCTAGTTTTTATGACAATGTTGGTAAAAGAAAAGTTTGTAAGCTGAAAAAATCAATGTATGGTTTGAAACAGTCACCTAGGGCATGGTTTGACAGTTCAGAGGGGCACTTATTAGTTTTGGGTACACACAAACCCAATCTGATCACACCCTCTTTATGAAAAGGAGAGATGCACTTGTGTCAATTCTGATTGTGTATGTGGATGATATGGTAGTTACAGGAAATGATCTGAAGGAGATTGATGCTCTCGAGAAATCATTACAGCAAGAGCTTGAGATCAAAGATCTTGGTGAGCTAAAATACTTCTTGGGGATTGAGGTTGCAAGATCCAAGCATGGGATTTTCATCTCTCAGAGGAAGTATGTACTAGACCTACTACGGGAGACTAGGAACCTATTGACCCAAATCATAGAATTAATGTTGTGGACAGTGAGTTGGTTAAGGATGGGGGGAGATATCAAAGAATGGTAGGCCAACTATCATATTTGTGAATGACACGTCCAAATATCTCCTATGTTGTCAGTGCCGTGAGTCAGTACATGCATGCACCTCGAGTTCAGCACTGGGAATCCATTGAAATAATATTTGCATACCTGAAGAAGAACCCTGACAAAGTTATTATTTTCTCAGACCATGAAAATTTAAAATTGGAGTCCCATACAGATGCAGATTTGGATAGGTTGTTTAGATGACAGGAGATCTACATCAGGGGTATGTACCTTTGTGGGTGGAAACTTGATTTCATGGAAGAGTAAAAAACAAGCAGTTGTGGCTAGATCAAGTGCAGAGGTTGAATATAGATCTATGCTCATGGTGTCTCAAAACTACTTTGGGTTAGGTCCCTACTGAGTGAGATTGGGATAAAAGCAGAGGAACCTATGGTGTTATATTGTGACAACCAAGCTCCAATCAATATTGCCCACAATCCAATTCAGCGTGACAGGACAAAACACATTGAAGTTGATAGGCACTTCATAAGAGAAAGAGTAACAACCAGAGAAGTTTGTTTGCCTTATGTCTCTCTAGAATTGCAGTTGGCTGATGTCCTCACTAAAGGAGTTGCAAAGAACAAGCTTGAACATGATCTACGCAAGTTGGGAATGTGTGACATTTACTCTCAACTTGAGGGGGAGTGTTGAGGATTTAATCAGTTTTGTGCAGATTTAGCAGTAATCTTTTATATGTTTATTGTTTAGATAGGAAGTGGGGACCACAACACTCTTGTTGGGCCCTTTGTTGGTTGCCTTTTAAGTGTTTTATGCAGTTTTAGATGCTTGCCACCCTATAAGGGCATATTTGTCATTGTACTCCACTTTATATTTTTAATATAAATACTAGTGAAGGGGGCGGCCAGATTATGAGCTCTCTTTTTCTCTCTCAAACCTCTTCCTCTTCTTCTTCTTCTCTCTTCTTTTCCTCAAGAAAACATCTTTTCTTTTACAGATTTTTAATAAAGCAAGGTTTCTACTGATGACACCTTCACCAAGGCTATACCTCACTCCAGACATCCCTTTCTTGTTAACAAACTAATGCTTATGTCCCTGCATTAGTTTGAGGGGGAGCATAGAGAATAGAAGACAAGCTTTGGTACCGACTTGTTCATTTCAGCAAGGGAAAATTAAATAGGAAAAAAAATCAAGTAGGAAGAGAGTTTCAACAAGGTAGAAGAGGAGGAAGAGAGAAACAAAAGAACAGAATTCTGGGAAGAACAAATTGCAGGATCCTAATTGGAGTCCTATGAGAATTTATACTCTTTTATAATTTGATGTAAGATTACATAAATATCCCCCATAGGGTGGCAGCGGTTATACATCACTGAAAGATCTAAATACAAGGCCCAAGGCCTACTAACAGGTCCAAACTAGATAAAGAACATAGAACATAAATAACAAACTAACAAAGATAGATAGGTCCACTGTACGCTTATCTTCTCCGCAGTGTCCAGTAGGAGACTGAACAAATTACAAGCCTCCAAACAAGAAAAAATGTCAAAAAGACCAACCAATTTTAGTTTTAGAAGCCTTAGTATGGATATAAAATCTCAAACAGAAAATGCAAAGAATTACAATAAAGTGAAAACTTTCATTCATAAAGTTCATAATTTTACCATTTTGAGTTACATATACGAAACAAGTTAACCAACTTGGTAGTTTATCAATTATAACTGCCATTAAAAAGCACTGTTTTAAATTCTTTAACCTATTGACCACAATTATAGGATAACCTCTTTAAATTACTGGAGGCACATAATCTATATTCTATAATTACAACCAACCATGGGAATTTAAAGGAACAGAAAGCTTACCATAAACATTGCACATTTTAACACCATAGAAAGTGAACTCTAAAAAAGTACAATCTATTTAACCCCAGTTTTCCTTCCTCTTCCTCTCCCACCCTCCCCCTTTTCCTTGAGACTGTTTGGTTTTAAGGAAAAGGTGGGGAAAGGAAGAGAACACAGCCTTAATCATTGCCCAAAACCAGTAGTAAATCCAATTTATAATAAGTGGCATACCAGCAACAACAACAATAGTGAGGATATCTCCAATACGTTTGAGTCGCCACACACTCTTCTTATGTGATTTGAACCGCTTTAATGCAGGATCTTCTTCCAAGAGCTGTAACAAAAAACAACTGCTTTGTTCAATAGGAAGGAAAGTGCATGAGAACCACTGAACTCAGATGCCACTGACAAATTGATTTAGTCTTTCTAGAAGAAAGGAAAAAAATGCAACTCTAAAGACATCTTTAATAGCCAAATAATTCCTCAAAAAATAAATTCATCACATTTTTTCACATGGAAGTGAGCAACGATTTCTTCAACTGAGTGTAAAAGAAACCAAAACCTTCATTTTTATTTTCTTCTTTTTCTATTTTGCTTGGGTTGTTTATATTTAAAAAGCAAACTGGAATGAGGATTTTCTTTTTTGCTTCTGATTATGTGCATATGTCTGATGGCCATGTAATGTATAATCTTTTTGAGTATGAGACTCCCATATACTAAATCACAAAGGGCATAGCACTGATCAGAGAGGAATCATGGAACAGCCAAACAGGATTCTTGTAGCCAACCCCACATAGTTGGGATAAGGCTTTGTTGAGTTGAATATATACCTTATCATAAGAGAAAAATCTGATTGGAGGGGTAAAAGCGATGACAAATTTGAGAAATGAAAAGATAGCATGCTCTACCAACAAACCATTATCTTTAAATCCGAAGGATCCCATTGCTTATTTTTTTATAAATGAGAGTAGTTTTATTAATTCAAATAACGAAAGTATAATCAGCCTAAGAGGAGGCACAAGATGTTACCTCCCCTGAGGACTGAACCATATACACTAAACATACCCAAGCCTGAAACACAATTACAAAGTAGCCCAAAACAGATCTCCCCTTGACACCCCTTGCTTGGCTAGAGAATCAGCCATTGCATTTGCTGATCTGCTGACCCATTGAAACCTGACAGTCATATTTCTTGTCATCCATTTAACTTTCTTTAACAGATCCCTGTAGCCCCAACAAGCTGTTTCTGGACTTATCAGCCAGCCCACTACTACCTTGGAATCCCCTTCTACTATCAAATTGGTCACTCCAATTTGACTAGCCATCTGTATACCTTGTACCGCTGCTAGTAACTCTGCCCTTACAGAATCACCTTCACCCAGTGTTCCTGAAAATAAAGACAACATATTGCTGTCTGTCTCTCAAAATCCCTCCAATTCCGGATGGCCTTGGGTTACCTTGGCAGCTGCCATCAAAATTCAATTTTACCATTCCATCCGGTGGGGGTTTTCATTCAGCTTGTGATTTGTTCTTGGTGGAGACTGTAGAAGCCACTGCTGCCCAGTTTCTCCTTTAGTCATCAAAGGAGTAATCTGCCAACAAATGTGAAGATTTTAACCACGAGATTGTCCTTGTCAATATGCATTCCTTGATTCCAGCAAGACTTCTTTCCTTTTCTTGAAATATTCTAGCATTTCTCTCCTCCCATTGCTTATTAACTCAACAATAATTGCATTAGTTACAAACTTGCAAGTTGCGAAGACTCTAGTAATAACTATTTGTTGTCTACCCAATCCCAGAAATTTTCTGTGCACCTGTGAAAGAGTGAAGGTCCACTCCCTCTTTTTCATGTCAAGCCTTCAACAACATATCATCCTTTTTTTTTTGATAAATGAGTAAGATTTTATTAAACCAGCAAATAAGAGTTACACACATCCCATGGAAAGGCACGAGATGCGACTTTACTTTAAAGTTAGTTACAGAATTATAAGTACAAAAGAAATTACACAGAAGCCCAAAAAGTATCCCAGAGAACCCCTTGTTTTGCAAGTGGATCAGCCATTGAGTTGGTTGATCTGCCTATCCACTGAACTATGACTGTCATATTCCTTGTTAACCATTTAACTTTTTTGAGAAGATCTCTAAAATCCCAAATCACAGTGTCCAGATCCTTCAGCCAACCCACTATCACCTGGGAATCCCCTTCAATAATCAGATGCTCTATGCCTAGCTGATTTGCAAGCTGGATTCCTTAACAACATATCATCCTTTTACTACTACATTACCCACTGCCTGATCCTCTCCTGCTCAAGTGCCCAATGCATAAAAAGTCTTGGCTGTCCGGACAAGTTCTTTGCCTTTCTCAAAGCATTAGTGGATGACCTGGCAAGGTCCCCACTCCAGTCACATCCTCCCCAAAGTCTGAAACACCACCAGGCAATGAGGCCCCCAACCAAGTTCAGAACTTTTTTTTATTTGGATACAATCATACAACACATATTATCAAGACATAAGGCTTTACAATCACAAGTAAACATGAAATCTATAAAAGCATTGCACTCACTAGTCATCTGAGTGCTTTATCCAGCACATGATTACTTGTACCAGAATGTGATGGGAAAAAACATGGTGGTTTATAGTATTTCATCTTCTTGATTTCCTGTTTTGTTTACCAGCTGCAATTCTGAATTCAAAAGACAAATTTGTTCTCTCCCACCGGGATCAACTAATTCCAACGACTTCATCTTCCCACCCTTTCTCTTTAGTCCTTCTTGAAATTTTTTTGTGGGACCAGCTCTAACCAATCTGAGCTTCAGCCTAGAGAAAACTTTAGTTACATGGACAATATGCATCTTGCTAGAATCCCGAGACTTCTTAGGGCCCAATCCAACCTCATTAGCTTCACATCTTTCCTCATTCTTCCTCTTACACCCAGATCGACACCCAGCTTACCAACCACAACCTCCTCAAACAAGCTGGAATGTCAAGATGAAAACTTGTCTTCACTGATAAACCTATTAGCTGCATGTCCGGCGGAGCCACCCTCTTCAGCATCAACAAAAAATTTTTTTCTTCATAATATTGTTCAGATGTTTCTTATTATCCCCCACTCCTCCCATCCACAACTTCACCCCTTCAACATCCTCTTTTGAAACTCTCATACACAAATCCACCAAGGAAAGGCTGGAGTCTTGAGATGGCCAGGTAGGATTGTCTTGATCACGTGTCCCTGAAGACAGACCAGCCTTACCAATAAGACAACCGTTCCTGGAACCAACGATTGTTTTCAATGTAAAACAATTGCTGGTGTGTCCATATTTTATTGGGGTTTGCAAGAAAGTATGTTCTCTATACTCCCTACCCTTGGCATAACCCACTCTTGTGCATTGTGTGTAACCCCCCCCCCCAAAATTTTGCTAAATTGTCATCCAGACTGTTAGCCAACCTAGGGATCCATCTGAATAAGTTAGATTGGACGCAGGTATTTGAATTCCATGATCAGAAATCTAAGGGTCTAAGGACCTTCTTCACCTGAAATGAACCAGCTTACAGCCACTTGGCAGTCTCCTTCAACCTCAATCCATTTCAACTTCCAACCTGCATCCATTGCTAGCTTAGGACCTTGACATAGTGCAAGTAGTTCTGCTCTTATGGAGTTGCCAACCCCCATTGACCCTGCATAACTAATCAAAATTTGATCTACCTGGTCTCCAAAAGCGCCATTATACTTGATTGACCCAGGTTTCCAAGGAAGCTTTCATAAAGTTCAATTTAATGCCCCTCCCCCAAACCAGGGACATTCCAAACTGCATTTATTTCATGCCTCCATGATGAGTGGCTAGCTACAATGGATCATTACCTTAGGATAGAATGAAGCTTTTCCTAAACATAGAGTAATCCAAAAGTGCATCCCCATTTCAATGACCCAACTTCAATTCTATGGTAAACATCTGTTTCAATATCTATCTACTTGTAGATCATTTTTTATCAATGACAGAATTTCATTAATTAATTAATTATTTAATAAGAAAATTACACAAGAGAGGAGAGGTAACCTTTCTTAACTCTTCCCCATCGGGGGAAAAAAAAACAAATTAACAGATTACAATTGTGCCCAAAACATTCCTTCACACCCCTTGTTTCACTAGAACATCAGCAAAAGCATTAGTAGTTCTTTTACGTTTTAACCTAGCAAACCTTCACCTCCGTATCTTGAGTTAGCCACTTGAATTCTTCTTCTCACCGCTGAATATCCAGAAACCACTCCCCTCCTTTTGCAGCCAATCTACTACCAGCTTTGAATCACCTTCTATAATCAGCTTTTTCGCATTCATATCCTTTGCCTTTTGCACTCCCTCCCTCACAGCCAGAATCTCAGCTTGTATATCATCATTTGGGCTGCATTTAGTTTGAAAGAAAATAAGAGAGAAACAGAAAATTGAGGGAAGGTTCTTAAGGAATTTCACAAAATTTGTTGAGAACTTCCCCTCAACTTTCTATTTCTCTCTTATTTTCTACCAAATCAATCATGGCCCTGAGGTATTCTCAGACATCAACTTTCTGTTTCTCTCTTATTAGGTTCCAAAGCATCACTCTAATCGATTCAGCTGTCTTAATCCCAACTAGTAGCTAATGACCTTGCCCTCATGATGGGGCAATGACACATATTTATTTTTGGTACCACTATTTACAAGACAAATCTTAGAAGCCTTTAGAGCCTAAGATATCAGCTAATCCATTAACTGACCTTCATGTCCACTTGAAACATGCACCAATCTCACTTGAAACATGCAACCCTTCATCCATCTACACCATCTTGCTCCAAAACTCCTACGGTTGAGAACTTCCATAAGTCTACCATGTCATTAGCATTTTCCAAATCCAACTTACAAACCTACCCCTTTTCCTTCTCCCTTCTACTAAACCCTACACATTCATTGGCAATGAGTATTTGATTCATTACTTGTCTCCCAAAAACAAAGGTCTCTTGATTTGGAGAGATCAGCAAAGGGAGGACATTTTTTTTCTTAGGATCAACACCTTATACATGATTCCCACCAAACCTATAGGTCTGAAATCCTTCAACTGAATTGCATCCACTTTCTTTGGTATCAAGGCAATAAAGTTGCATTTGCTTCCGAATTGAATTTCCCCTCTCAAAGAATTCTTCAAAAACCTCCATTAAGTCGCCCCCAATAATCTCCCAACAATATTGATAGAATGCCATTGTAAACAAGGTTTGAAATGTCGAAGTTGGTGGAAATGTCGGTCATCCAAATATAAGAAACATGTCGGTAATGTCAGAAATATCGTACGGAAATGTTGTAAAAATTATAGATATGGTGGAAACATTGTAAAATGTGCAAAATATAGAATGGTATTTTATGAAATGATAGAAGAGGCATAGGTACACCTTTTTAAATTATTATCTTATTCTAAATCATTAAACAAAGCTAAGAAACTAAGGTTATAGACAAAAGAATATGTTCTAAAGTTGCCCTATAAACCTTAAGATTTAGAGTTTCATAATAGAATGAGTTAAAACAAAATTCAAACTCATAGAAAATGTAAATGGTTGTAATAGATTAACTAAATAATCTATTACACAAACAAAAAAACTAATTTTAACTTCATATTTGAAATGAATATTGAGTTAGCTCAAAGTGATAATCATATAAGTTAGGTGGACAATAACTTGCTACTTCATATACCTACAATATTGTCACCAACTTATGTTATAATACTATCTCTTGTACTCCACATAGTATTGGAAGTGTTCAATGTGGAATATGTCAATTCCAGTAAATTTTCATGTTATTACCCATGGAAGTGGAAATGGAAGTATGCCATGGAAACTCTCTCTTGTACTCCACATAGTGTTGATAGTGTTCATTGGGGAAATGTCGATTCCAATAAAATTTCATGTCGCTACCCATGGAAATGGAAATATTAGGGAAATTAGGGACATTTTAAACCATCATCAAGATCATAAATCCATAGAGAAAATTGCACTTTTCACTTCTTGTAATTCAAAATTCTCTTCCAAAGTGTCCAACAATTCTCTATACACAACCCTCCATTCCAAATCCTCTAAACCTTCTCTTAAACTCCTCGGACAGTCAGACACTCATAAAGTGTCTTGAAGTGGTTCACAAAGGTTTGTGCCTTTGCTACTTATTGAACAAGGAAACAAAATGTTTTTAAATCTATATGGGACTGACATTGTTTAGTCCTTTTTTCTGAGAGGGAGACCTAGCCATGCTTTGAGGGAGAAGCCTTCCTCCATGATGGCTTTGCTTCAATAATATTAATTTTGGGTTTCGCCAACGTAACACAACCCTCCTTTATCCAGCCTTGGGATTGGCAGTTTAAGGCAAAATAACCATCCTCCTTAGTTCCAACTGTTCTTAAGCATCATTTAAGTTCTAAATATTCATTTATACCCCTTTGTCCTACCAAGAAGAATTATCTTTTCTTATTAATGAGAAAAAAAAGATTGGTTTATGAGATGATATAAAAAAGGTGATAACTATTAATAAATGGATTTTCCAAAACAAAGAAACTAAATAGAAAAAAAAAAGCTATTGTTGTACAAAAAATCCCTATCCACAGCAAATTTTGTGAGACTAATGGTTGTTACATTCGCCTCTCTCTAGAGATTCATCTAATTTGAACCAGTGTTACATGGAAACAGATATGGGAATCACAATCCAACTAATTATTGTTTGGGAGTCTGACTCAAAAAATGGGAAAAAAAAGAATTGTGAATCTATCTATAAAAAACATGAACTATTAAAATAGACCATATTTTATTGAATTTCAACATTATGAACTTATAGGAAAAGGTCTAAAAGATTATTTTGTTACTTAAATAACATTTTATAGGAAAAATGAGATTTATTATGTACATTAATGTTGATTCTTATGTTGACTAAACAAGGAGAAAAAAAAAGTCATATGGAAGTTTCAAGGAGAAAATTTATGTGGGGATTGTTCCATGTAAATTGTTGATTATTATGTACATTAATTGTTGATTCTTATTTTGACTAAACAAGGAGAAAAAGAAAAATGTCATATGGAACTTAATCAGATAAATTGTTCCCACAAGATCCCCCCCCTTTCAACTAGAGCTATACATCTTCATTTTTTTAATATAAAAGATTTTTATTAAAAATAAAGAAAAATGAGATCCTCCTTCTTCCTCCTCATCCCCCTCCTTTTAAAGAGGCTTACACCTCCTTGTGTTCGGGAGGCTTATTCCCTCTTACGTTCTGAATTATGCCTCACGCCTCTAGATAGTGGAATGCCTCGCATCACGCCTCCACATTTTAAAACATTGGTTGAAATTACTTTATCATTGACTTCTCTCTAAGGCAATGAAGACATTAGCACATGAAGAATAATTTAAAATGGAACAGTTTTTTAGTCCTATTCCTTAATGGGATTTAAAATGACAAAAGAAACAAATGATTTGCAGATTCAAAGCTAGTGCTTATATCAAGCAGTATAGCAGATTGGATCATTTTTCTAATTTATTAGGTGCTCCTCTATAAAACAAACAATATAGTATCATAAAAAAGATAAGAAACTAGAATTACCACCATCAAGCAGAGTTGGTGTCATCCGGATCAACCAATCACTTGATTCATCAGCATGAAAGTTATACATCAAATAAAAGTTTCTGTTCCTGTTTTAGAATGATTCTCATGCAAACCTAAAAATGAGATGGAACGTTTTAAAATAGCGTTGCTTTAATGGGCACGTTTTCAATAGGAAACGATAGGCGAAAAGAAAAAGAAAAACAGATTAGATCTAGACATGTTGGAAATATACAAAAAGCGCCAAACTAGTGTTTCTTCAACCTTACTAGGATTCGGTTTACAACTGATCATTGTAGTAAGTGAAACGCTATTGGCAAGTTGGTAAGTAGGACAGCCTGCAGAATTTGTTTGGGATAGATATTTTGCTGAGCTCGGAAACAGAATCACCGCCTCTCTACTGATTTTAGTGCCCCCTGAAACAAAAGTTTGTTTTATTTCATTCAATTGATGAAGTCGGGTTTTAGTTTCAGATCAAAACTTCGTAATCTTTGATCAATCGTTGCTAGATTCATTCTGCGGTTTCTTACATCATGATAACCATCGTCATACCCCCCCCCCCCAAAACAAAACAATGAAAAACACAACAATTATAGAGGAATTTCCCAGAATTCTGGATGCATCAGATAAAAGTTCTTTTGAAAAGGAAGTGAAGAAACAACATAGCGATCTAGATGACTCTAACAAACAACTGAGCTAAACTGGGAAAAAACCGACAGAAAGAGGGAAATGAGTACTCACAGCTTTCTCGCGAGGCCCTGGTTCGATGTGCAACTGGCGACGTGAGAAAGCAAAGGAATCTCCCGTCTTCTGCTCAACACAAGCACAATAAATTTAAGGGAGAATGACTGCGTTTTTGCATGATTGTTTAGTGAAAGAATAACGGTTCAAGAAAGAAGAACAAAGAAACCACCTGAGAATTTGGTCGAAAACGGGAAAACATCGCGGTTTGCTTCAGTAGGTAGGCCATTACTGCGATATCAAAACCTTGATTAAAGAGAATCACCAGAGAGAGATGTCCAGCGGCGACAGCTGCGAAGCTGAATGGCTTCCCACCGTCATTGAAAAAACTACCAATAGTTTTCTTTACGGAAGCGGATCTGCTAGGTGGGTCGTTTAGCGGGCTTCCCTGCACGACCCAAGAATCTTGGACAAATAACAAATGACTTGTCGGGTCGCTTTAGGGTGTTCACAGTCCGGTTCGATCTGGTTTGGAGGAAACCTCAAAATTATGGTTTGAAATTTTGTTTGGTAGTGTAAAAATCAGACCAGATCAGGACATTTTATTACTAGTCTAGTTTCTAATACTATTTGGATTATTTTTTGGCGAATAAGTGGTTTGACAAATAAGTATTATTGTTGTTGGCGACCCCTTTCTCAAACCATTTATTGGAGTGACGATGTTTGGTAAACTATAGGGATGTTTACGGTTCGGTTAATCAAATTATATACATTTTTTCCAAACCAAATCGGTCTTATTAGTTTTTTTATTTCTCCGAATTGAAGTCAAACTGGTACCACCAGTTAACTAATTGATCGGTTTTGGTTTTTGATTAATTTGGTTCTTTGATTTTTCAGTTTTTTATATTTATAATATATATTATATAAATATATGCATAATATTATTTTATAAATAATAAATGATATATAATAGATTTCATAAATAGCTCATTATAAATATATTATATGTATATATGTTTGTATATAATGCATATATATTTATATATAATATATAGATAATATGTAACATATATTAAAATATATATAATATACATATAAATATATACCGGTCGGTTCGATTAACTGCTAGTTTTTTAGGTTAATCGAAAATTGAATTGGTCATTTGGTTTTTCAAAAATACCGAACTGACTGGTTCGGTTAACCATATTTTTAGTTTGATTTTTTCGGTTTGGTTCAATTTTTTAGTTTTTTATGGACACCCCTAATGAATCAATTCTCTAACGAGTACTTGACTTTACTAAGATGACATTTTAGCCCCTACTTCACAAATCCATATAAAGCTTGAGGCTTAAACCTATGCCAAAAAGAGGCATAAGCCTTAAACTTCAAGGTGTGAGGTATAAAAACGGGTAAGCCTCAAAATCTATGAGAATTTAGTTATTTAATACAAAACGATTGTTTTATATTTATTTTGAGTTTAAATATATGAAAATAATATTTTCATAATTATGGGTCAAATAAAAAAATAATATGAAAAGCTAATAAAACAATAGAGTTCATAGTTTATCTTAGGGTTTTAAAAGAGTTAAATGTAACAAGGGATAAAATGGATATTCATAATTTTCATTCTCGGTCAAATCAAGTGGGATTTTTTTTTGTTATTATTCTACACTATTCTAGCTAAAAATAATGCTAGAATAGCATAGACCACAGAAAGTTTTCCACAAATAAGACATTAACAATTGGGGATCATATGCTGTTGATCCATTGAAAGATATGAAGGTAAGGCTCAACAATCATGATAAACTTGGTACCTTCCCTCAACATGAGCTTAAACCGAAGATTGTGTTTGACACCAAAGATTTTGTTAGTGGTGTGATGTATCATTTTTCTAGGTTTGGGTATGACTAAATCTTGGGCATGTTTGGTCTTGCATTGTCAATTTTGAATAAACATTAATTTGGACATGAAAATTTTAATTCTACCAACTTTCTTTTTAAAGCATGTTAATTTTTGTTAATCTGATAAGTAAATTTATATAATTCAATTATTAGTCAAGGAAATATGCAATTTCTGAATATCCAAGCATCAAATTATGAAATTCAATATGTGGAATTTTATTTCATTTTATTATATTTTTAGTTTAACTCTCCTATTGATAAATCAACTAGATTTAAATATATTGAAAGCAAAAAGATCAAAATACAAGATAGTACTCCCCCTACCATGAAGCTATGAGAATTTAAATATATTGAAAGCACAAGAGCAAAATGCAAGATAGTACTCCCCCTACAATGAAGCTATGATGAGAACAAGACACATGACCAAAAGTATAAGAATATAGTATGCATTTTTTTTCCTAATTTCTTGCTATTTTTTTGTTTTGTTTTCAATTTAAGTACATTTACAAGGTAAGTATGTTGGGTTAATTATTTTATAATATATTGATTTTACCTTTCATTTACTATCAATGTACGTTCTTTCCTAATTAAGAATTCATGAGGAACGTATCAGGTGTGTCATTGTGTCTTTAAATGCTGTACAACTAAAGGTTATTGAGTAAAGAAAGGTGTAGGATTGAAGGGTTGGTTCCTTCAATAAACAGAAAGGCGTGGACCTAAAGAAGAACATTGGAATGGATTCTTATATATTCTCAATATCATGGTCACGAGTATTTCTTGGTAACACACAATTCTTCACAGTTTTCAATCTTATAATAGTTTTTATTGTTAGATAATGACTTCTTCATTTAACAATGGCTTCAGTAAATTAACATAAGATGCTTAATTTACGTCTCTTATAACCATTAGTAGTAATTATTTTTATATATTTCAGGTAATTACAAAAAAGGAGATTGGTTAAGAGGAGCATCTTCATCAATTCTCCAATTCTGCATGAATTTGTGTTATGTTGGGATAACTCACCATTTTATGTGACCACGGTTATATGGAAGTTATGAAGATCAAATCTTAGCATTTTGTGAGAATAGTCTTTCTTTTTTTTGGTATTGCATAATTGTTTTAAGACTTTAATTGTATGTAAGCTTTTATATGTGCCCAAGATATGAAAGTATAATCAAACAACACAATTAGTGTCAAGTACCCCGTGCATAGCACGTGCCATTCTACTAGTTTATTAAATATAGGCGAGTTGGGTCAGTTTTTTTATTTGCATATATACTTAGAAAAATGAACTTGAACTAACCATTCAGTTTGTTATTTCTCTGAACTAAAACCAATCAATAACCACTGGAAACATGCCAATTCAGGTCGAGTTGGGTCAGATTGGTCGATTTTATGTATATTATGAACAACTCTAAAGGAAATACATTGCAAAAAAAAATCCTTCATTTATTGAAGCATTTAGGTGCAAGGTAGCCGGATGGTCCAGCCCAAGTTCAATGAACTTAAATTGATTGGGTCAAGTTCAAGTTTATGCAATTTATAGATTAAAGATATGGAAGAAAAATGATTCCTTAAACTAAAGATTCTTTCTTTAATGCAATCAAGCTCACTTGTTCATTTACCCTAGCTCCAAATGGGAAACAAGGTAGTATCATGGTTCAACATGAAATACAACATAGTAAAAAAAAAGACAAACAAACAAACTACTGTACTGCTTAGGAATCAAGTTGTGAATTAATAACACAGCTTAGGCTCAATTTGAAAATAGTACAAATATAAATATGTATGCAAATACGTAAAAAACAATACAAAATATAAGGTTTTGCACTTTACATATTTGTATTTGTTGTACTCCTTCCAAGAGTGCAAATACAAGGTTTAGAGATGCATTTACAAGGTTTTGTACTTTACATATTTGATAAATTAAGGCTCAATTTGGGACAAGTACATATACAATGTGTATAGTGCAACTACAAGGCCTAGAAATAAATATACATGGTTTTTCATTCTACATATTTATTCCCAAATTGAGCCTTATAGGCCTATTAATGCTTGTAAATTCTATCATTCTATTCTAATTTATCGTATGCTATTTTTCATTGTCTTTTTTTTTTTTTAAATTGAGGCTTACAATTACATTTTTGAGCCATTAGCTTCAACTATGCATAGAATTTTTTGGACCAAGCATGGGCCCATGCCGAATACCATATGCCTAACCCAACCCGTAATATATTCATTATCTTATTTTTACATATTATCTAGAATGCTTTAGATTTTGTCTTTTTATTATATTTCTTTAAATATGTTATTTAAAAATTAAAATATTTGAACAATTTAGCTTTAAATGGTAATTAAGATGATATTAAATTACTTGATTTAACTTCTATAGCCTCCATAGGAACGAGGGCAAGTATCAAGACTATATATAATAAATATTACACATCATATAATATAAAATATTATATATCCATTACCATATAGTGGCTGCCAAAATAATTTAATCTTTTAAATTCAACAGTTGAGTCAAGACATTTAAAATAGAATAAAAAATTTTCAAAAATCTAAATGCCTTTTCATCTTTTTGCAAGTGGTGTTATTCAAACATGTTAGACCTTTTTATAGTCCACTCCACCTCAGATTTGAGAAATTATTTTTCCAAATGTATTTATTCTTAGCTCCCCTACGGTGGAGAGACTTTTAAAACCCCAACATTTTAATCTTTAAATCTAATCAATGAATTAAGACAATTTAAATTATCTTTTGTAAATGATGGTTGTGAAAATATTTTAAGTTTTAAAGATAATCATGCATTGAGTCAAAGATATTTAAAGAAAGTTGATAGGGTTTCATTTAGAGAGGTCGTTTTTCCTCTAGGGCAAGGTGCAAGCTATTAGTTGGATAAAGGAATATGCATATTTATCATATAGGATTTTGAAACTTACTTAGCTGGCGGCCATTTTTTTTCTCCAGCACTTCAAATCAGCATGTGATGTGATGAGTGTTCAGTTACACATGGATTCATTGATACATGGTTTTCAAAACCGGACTGGACGTGAAGGGCCGGACTGGGAAAACTGAAATCGATCATGTGACTGATTTCGTTTTTCTCTAAAATCGGATATTTATAAAAAAACGTTGATTTGGTTAGCAAATCATTGACATGGGTAGTTGAATCATTTGAATCGTTCAATGGTTTTGACTGTTTTTTATTTTTTATTTTTTTGTTAGAACAGACCAATCGTTTGGTTCAAACAGTTGGTCCGTTCGACCCGAAAATTAGACCCTTGACCGGGTCGGTTTTAAAAACCTTGCATTGATATAAGATTATACATGTGATTTGAGAAGTCAGCCACAAAGTGTTTGTTCGGCATCGTTGCCGTTGCTCCATAAAATGATGCCACATTGGAAAAAAAACAATGCTCCAGGAAATGGGCATTTGTTTGGAACCTTTTTTCCATAAAAAATGGTGTTCCAAGCCATGCCTCGGAAAGCGGGAAGGCACCGAGGCATGGCTTGGAGCAATGCTAAATTTGGCATTTCCTGGAGCTGCAGCTTGTTGCTTCCAATAAGGCAATGATGTGGCACTAGATAATGGGTGTCAGTGCTGAAAATGTTTTCTGGAGCATTGGTACCAAACAGAAAAAGTTGTTGTTGCTCCAGGAAACGTCCTACCTGGCAGCAACGGTTCCTAACAAAAAAAAAAAAACACCGTTTTCTCAGAAAATGGTGCTTCTAACCTACACATCAGCAGCTACATCTGTAGCATTAATGCCAAACATATACAGCGTTTGTTTGGCATCGATCCCGTTGCTCCAAAAAACGGCACCACATCAGCGCCACGTCGAAAAAAATGGTGCTCTAGAAAACGTTTGTTTGTTTGGAACCATTTTTCTATAAAAAGCAGTGCTCCAAGCCACGCCTTGGAAATTGGGAAGGCATGGCTTGGAGCAACACCGGATTTGGCATTTCTTGGAGCTGCAGCTCGTTGCTGCCAACAGGGACATGAGGTGGCAGTGACAAGGACATGATGCGGCACTTGATAATAAGTACCACCGTACCAGTGTTGAAAACATTTCCTTAAGCATTGGTACCAAACAAAAAATGTTTTTGTTGCTCCAAGAAATGTCCTACCTGACAACAGCATTTCCAAACAAAAAATAGACACCGTTTTCTCAAAAAATGGTGCTTCCAACCCACACATCAGAAAACGGTGTTGTATCTACAGCATCGATGCCAAACAAATACCAAATGGAAGTTGAGGGTGTACATGGGTCATTTGATTCAGTCGCAAGGTATTTTGTCAATTTAAATGACCTGCTCGGATTGATGAGTAGGTCACCTGAAACCGATTGAACTTGAACGAAAACCAACCCAAACATGAAGAATTAATTTGAGTCAGCTTCTCGGTTTGAGTAAATCGGCCCAACCTACTACAAAAATGAGATTTCTTATTGAAATGTACCAATCATTTGGGGTGTGACCTGTCCCTGCCCACATTATCTTATGGTATCTTGTAGACGAGGACCATCTACACAAAACAGAATGCCACATTTTATCGTGGACTGGATCAAAATGGTCCCTTTCACGATATATTAACATTCAGTCCCCTCCATTTCTCCTTAACCAGGCGATCAACTGTCCAACAAATTGACCAATGTACATATCTGAGCTACCGCCTTTGTCAATTGCCTGTATAGCGAACTGCCTCCACTTTCTCACAATTCTTCTTTAATTCCTGCCTCCTAGTTTCCTCCATTATTTCTCTTATACAGGATTTGAGTTCTTCTCTACTCACAATCCCATTGTGATCGACCTTAGCTTTCAACCCGACTCCGGTCCCACACCTCTGCCACAAACTTGGAGTTGGTGGCTTGATCAGCCCACTGTAGCACTGCCACAATCGGCAAACCTAGGCTCAACCCCTCAAGCGTGGGCTAGCACTACAACATGGCTTTTCTTCTTTTCTCCATTTTCTTCTTTCTCTTCTCTTAAGGGGAAGAATGGAGAAGATGGTTGGGGATAGAACTTTGGCTCCTATGATCCTATTATTAAGGTACAATCACTTCTTCACCGTGGATGTCAACTACAGTTTGGTGGAGGAACTTTAGGACACCCTTGGGGAAATGCACCGGGTGCCGTAGCTAATCGAGTAGCCCTAGAAGCGTGTGTACAAGCTCGTAATGAGGGACGTGATCTTGCTCGTGAAGGTAATGAAATTATCCGTGAGGCTAGCAAATGGAGCCCTGAACTAGCTGCTGCTTGTKAGGTATGGRAGGAGATCAAATTCGAATTCGAAGCAATGGATACTTTGTAATCCAGTAAYTTCCATTCGTTCCCTTAATTGAATTGCAATTAAACTCGGCCCAATCTTTTTCTAAAAGGATTGAGCCGAATAAAAAATGGGGATCCTATTGCATATATTTTGCATTGCATATAGATAAAGTATTTATCTAGCCTCACCAAACATTCAAAACTTTCCTCCCTACAAATGAAAATCATGGTTATTAAACTGTGGTTGACCCAGATAGCCTAACCATTTGGCCCGGAAACCAGACAGCCAATTAGTTCAGTTTTATTCCTGAACCATTCTTTTGCTAAAAAACATCGATTTAATCAACAACCCATGGACCTGGGCAGTCCAACCATCAATTGGTTCGACACGGTTAATAATTTTAACTTATTTTTTAAATTGAGACTGATCCATTTGAACCAAACAGCCAAACCACTGACCCAGGAACAAGTGGTCAAAGTGGTCTGGTTTTATGTCATTTTTTTTTTAGTTTTTTTTTTTTTTGGTGTGGGGCATTTATCATTTTTGTTCTTCTAATGCTATTTATATTGAGGGTGTTTGGTTCTGTTTATCTTTATTGAGTAAACGTTTTGTACTTGTGTGACTGCAAAATCGAGAAAAGCAATTAACGAGGGAATTTATGACACATAGGCACCATTAGGCACCACATCAGTAAAGTGCCAATAAACGCCTACCCATTTCAGGAAGCTCCAAAATAACATTAATATTCGATCTGAAACCCCTAAATCTGACCACATTTCAGATCAAACTCAAATTTCAGTTTTCTTTGGTCGGGTTGGGTTCGGATTTTCTTGGGGATGGTCTGTATCATATTTGATTACAACCTTAACAACGGAATCTGAATATCCATTCCTGTTCAAAAAAAAAAAAAAAAAAGAACGGCCATATATCCAAACCAATTACTCGGACTCGGATTTAATTTCTTTTTATTTTCATTTTTTAAATGTAGCGATGTAGAATTAAATCCGACTCCCATTGAAATATGATAGGATTTGAATCCTATCCAAGTTAACCAAATCCAATCGGATTTTGGATCATATTCATATTTTAGGCTTGTTTAATCGGGTCGGATTGGAATTGTGGGTAGGAGATCCAGTCTACAGAGGGATGAGGGCTCCCAAACAGCCGAACCGAACATCTCTGCACTCAGCATCTTCCACCGAAGAACACACTTAGACAAACTGCGAACAGAGATAACTAAGTCAGACCCCTCCCCTTCAAAACTAGCAACACAATTCACCTTTACCCACCCAATACTCCAATAGGAGGGGCTGTCAGAGTCAGGTTCCACTATTTTTTTTAAAGAAGTCAGGTCCCACTAATGGGCTAGTTGGAAACTTAGAATATTTCATTTGTGTCTTGTCATGTAGTTTAAGACCTTATTCTTCTTAACCTATGTTCTTCAGCGCCAATTTTTTTGAAGTAAAAATTGTACAAAATATAACCAAGGCAACGGCTAGAGATATAAAATATAAGAGGAAGTAATTACAAAGCCATTAATAGCCGAAACTAGCTGCACTTGATGGTTGTGTTAGGGGCTGTTTAACCAATAACAACTTCCCACTTCAGCTATGCAAGCGACGTGAGAGGTTGGAGTGGGTTGAGCAAATACACTTGATGACTGACGTGGGGCATTATTATTGGTTAAATAGCCCCTAACACAGCCATCAAATGCAGCTAAACCAAACATCTCTCACACTAAAACAGCCCCTAACACTGTAGAATAGGAACGTTTCTAACACCAATTCGTATATCAGAGTGGTAAATATTCCATTCAAAAAAATAAAAAAAATGAATGGTTCATATTCTTATCATGAGTTTGCCCTCATCCTGATATAGGAGTAATTCAACGGGTGCCCTCATCAACTCCTTGAGTAAAATTCAGTTACTATCACTCACATTACAAAGCTTCAACTGAAGATGTTAACTTCAGCCAAAGAAGCAATTGCATCTGTGTATTTTAATATGATTGAAGAAACTTGCTGTGTTCTCGAATGAACAATACAATGGTAATATGGTATACTCTACCAACCCCATCTACTTTCTATACTACTAAAAAGCACCAAAACTCTACAGCTGTACAGACTTAATGGGACAGCATCCACTATTAGAATGCATGTTTTCTTCATATCATTTGCTAACCGTATCTCTCAGTTTCTCTCACCTGACTCTTCTTGGAAGCCACAATCCTCCGAATTGAGAATTTCCATCTCAGGAGGCTGAACAAAATTGTCCATTGTGTGTAAGCTTTGCCTGTTCTACCAGCCTCAAGGATGCCACTGACAGCACCATGTAGGCAAGCCTGTGATTCTAAAATAAAGCCCTGAGGTTGAAGGCCATGCTCTGGATCAAAGTATTGCAGATGGTCTTCACCATGGAAGGTTGCTAAGGATTCTGTGCCACCAATAAGGGAGCTAGTATCTTGGCTTGCCATAGTGGAAGGATTGGCATATCGAAAATCCATGTTGTCTTCACCTTGCAAGGTGTAACTATCCAGGCCCCTTGTACCCCCAATGGATAGAATGGATGAAATTATATCTGGAGAAGAACTTGGTTGATCAAAACCAAACCCACCTGATTGGTGAGAACCCAGGAACTTTCCACCATAGGAACTCTCCAAACTAGGTGAGCTTGAGGGAAAGCAAACGGCAGATAAGCATGAAGAGTCAGTAATGGACCCAGCTTCCAAAGGAGCTACTTCCTCCCAGTGTTCATATGCAATTTTTGCCAGATTTTGTGCATCAACCTAGTGGAACAGTTTATCACCAAATAGTTAGAAGATCGAAGCAATATAGGAGGAAAAGAAACTAGCATACAAGAAGAAACCATGCCTTTTCAGTTTCTGATAGCTCATCATTGGGAATATATTGCTGTTCAGAAAGGAGCCCCAAGACTTGTCCTACAGTGTTGAAGACCACACCCACTCTCTGCTGAGTATCAGGATGGTAATATGCATACATTTGTTTATCAAGCGTACATGTCCAAGCATGTTCCACAGTGACCTCCCAAATCTTAGCAGACATACCAGTACCCAAAATCTGAAATCAAGTATAGTTAGCGATGCACATAATGGGGTGTTGAGTTCATGTAGCTGGTGAAACACCCAATTCTTTCGCAAAAATGAAATTAACCGGTTAAAAACTATAGAAATCACTTCTGGCAAAGGCTTATAAGTGTGATTTAAATTATCATAAAATCCATATATCCATACTATTGGGAGGAGGTGGCACCCCAAATAATATATGGCGATGTAGGGCTGTAAGCAGATATGATTCAGCAACATCTAAATTCAATCTGATTAATGAAAACTGAAATCCAAAATCCAATCGGATTCAGATCCTATTCGACTCGGATCTTATTTGGATTTAATCAGACCCTGGTTCATTTTTAAAAATAAAGAAAATTTTTAAAAAGTTAATTACTTTTAATTTATATATAATACATTAATATAAATATGAAATATTGAATTTATTATATATAATTATATATTTATATTAAATTTTATATATTAAAATCAATATAATAATCAGATTCAGATTTTAATTGGATTGGATGGAGTTAAATCTGCATCTAATCTGATTATTATTTGGATGCAGTTCATAAAATCCAAATCTGATAGAATTATGTAAACAGATCATCCAAATCTAAGATAACTGAATCGGATTTCGGACTTTCAGAGTCTGTTGACATCCCTATGGGGATGGTTCCCAGCAATTTGTCAGAATTTTACCCATTGGCATTGTTTTCTCTTCAATTTCAGGACATGCTATCTTCAACATTTTTACCAAAAAAAAATTGGAACCTACAATATTAATTCTTTTATATTTTGTACTGAGTGGGTATTTCTTTCAAAGCTGATCACTGAACAGAATGGGAATTGTGATACACACACATGTAGCTGACCTCATATAGTTGGGACAAGGCTTAGATGATGATGATTTCTTTCAAAACTGATAATGGTAAGTTTTAGAAAAAAAAGCAGAAAAATAGAATATAATACGACATGATTGTAATAAGCTTCACAGTGATAATATTTGACAATCTCAATTTGAACAAATGAACAAAATATAGCACTGCATGACCATGAATAGGAAACTAGGTTTCAAATGATCATGTTACCATGTTATTTGATCCCACCTGTTTTACTTGGCCAAAGAGAGGGAGGGTAATGTGGAGATGTGTCAGAGCAGCCTTGATTTGGACCATTTGGGAAGAGAGGAATGCAAGAATCTTCTTAGAGAAGGAGAGAAGCAAGGAAGAAATCAGGATTTGTGTGATGGTTAGGGTGATCCACTGGATCAAAACTCTGGAGTTGTTCTCCCAGTTCTCCTTTCATGACATTTGGAGGAATTGGGAGATAGTTGCTAAAAGCTCTAAGGGAAAGGACAGAGTGGAGGTGGCCTGGACATCACCAATTGAACGTTTTGCTAAACTGAATTTTGATGGGAGTGACCAAGGTAATCCAGGCCCTTGTGGAATTGGAGGGGTGGTGAGAGATGGAGAAGGTAATTTATAGCACTGTTTTCTGGTCCTGTGGGTATGGGGGACTCTCTCAAAGCTGAACTGCTTGCTGCAAGTCAAGGGGTGCAGATAGTTAGTGAGCTAAACTTGACAAATGTGGTCATAGAAGGGGACTTGAAAGTGGTGGCAGAATAGCTAAGGAATCCTGAGTCTATAATTTGGTGCTACAGGCGTGAAATGAAAAAATTTACTAGGCCAACCAGGAACATGAATTTAAGGATTACAATGGGTGAGAAGATCGGCAAATGGGATGGCAAATGCTTTGGCTAAACAAGGGGTGAACAGGTCTAGTTTATTCAGGGCACAGTTGTAATATGTTTTTTCTTTGTATGAGAGGTAGCAGCTCGTGCCACTCTAAGGGATGATTGTAAAGTCTTTACTTTAAGTATTTTAGTAAAACTCTAATTATTCATAAAAAAATGATCATGCTACTATGGTAAAAAGAGTATGATGAGAAAAAGTAGAGGATTATTACATTCCGGAGCTTCGAAGCATCAATACAGAGCAAGGTAAGAAACTCCTTCACAGTGTTGATGTTTTCCCTCCTTAACCGCTTATGAAAAGCACCATCTTTTCCAATCTTTTCTAGACGCCATACTTCATCAACAAGAGAGGGAGGATAATGTTTTTTGTACACTGCAAAAATAAACCAGAAATTAAGGTCATTTTCTTTTTTCCATCTGTTTTCTCATACACATAAAATACTCCAACTTATAAGTCAACAACAAATCAATAAAACCGCTTTTTTCTCTCTTAGCCATGGCTTTGATACATGATCAGGTAGAGGGATGTGCAAACAGAAGACTGAAAGAGAACTCCTTTTCTCTCTCCTAATGCAGGTAGGCAGGGAGGGGATCTTCATCTGGCAATCACATGGAGACAACAAAGAGACCCACATGCTCACAAAATCAGACTCTTTTAAAGAGATAAGTTTCAATCCAATATGCCACCCAAAAAAAAAAAAACTGAATTTGATCAAGGGCACGATCATCTCATTGTTATCCCTGTGGCTTGTGTATCTTCTCTTCCCAATTGGTTCACAATTATGCAGTACAAGTGACCAAGTCCAGTGCAGCCCATCTCACTTCCATGGCATGTGTGAGAGAATAACTGTTGCAGTGGAAGACAAAGATGAAGGAGGTGATTGTGAAGTCTAAAGGCAACCTCACTAGCTGGTTGAAGTTTTTAGAGGCATGTCTAAATGGGCATTTCATCAATTCTGATCCTGAGGAGGATGTTTTTAGATGGGAAATGCAGATTGGCAAACGAGGGGAATTGTCAAAGTTGGGAGCTTAATGCAGGTTTCTTTCTGTTCATTTTAAAGAGTTCAGAAGTGGTAGAAGTTCTAAAACGGAAATCAGAAAAAGTCAGATCATTGGAGCTGAGATTAGGAAGATGGAATCCACTGGTTGGCACAATATGAGAAAATGGGATAACAAATCTAGTTTGGATAAATGTTTTGAGATACCATTTCATGCATGGCTCATGCAGTCATTTCGTGCAATTGATGAGACTTGCGGTAGATTCAGGAGAATTGATCCTCATACCAGTCGCTGGAGAAACTTGTTGATGGAAAGACTGTTAGTAGAAGTAACAGCAGTGCATTTGGTCCCTTCCTTGGTGTTGTATTTCACTGGAGAATGGTTTGATTTGAGGAGTGTTGTTGAAGGCTGTCTTCTTCTGAGATGACTGGAAGAGTTCCCACAGGTAATAGACCACTGTTGACAGGAAGCTGAACAGTCAGCAGTTGAAGGGTTAGACAGACGAAAGGTTGGGGAGCAAGGGAAGGACTAGAGGGAGATGAGAAGGGCTGTTTGGAAACTAAGAATACTAATGAAGGTAAGGTGTGCAGTGGCTTCGAGTAGGGATGTTCGTTCAGTTGGCTTGATCCGGTTTGGTTCAAAAATGGAACCCAACTGACATTTCAGTTAGGCCATTTTCATGAATCGAACCAAAAACCAGTTTCTTTTAAAAAAATTAGCAAGCTGAAACAAACTAAAAATTGAACAAACCTTACCATATTATCTTATTCATTTTGGTTTTCAGTTAGGTAACCAAATTTGAACACCCCTAGCTTCAAGAAGCATGTGGGAGCTAAGATGTTTGGCAACCGTTCAAATGGTTGTGGAACATTGGATCGGGCTAAGAAGGTTTGTCGGTTTGAGAGAGGTAGACCTATGCATTGGTCTATCAATTTCATGTGGCTGAGCCATCAAATGTAAACCTAAAACTTAAGGAGATAGATCATGTTTGAGTTCCTACTTGAAAGAAAGGAAATACAATTTCAAGTGAGGATACAACTAGAGGTCCAAAGGTTTTGATGAGTAAAAGGACTGAAGTTCCATTAGAGGTGATAAGGTGGTTGAGTAAGAGAAAGCAACAGAGATCTTAATTGATGAAGAAAAGGAAGACGAAACTGCAGCAGTAGAAGATGAGAGTGTTTGAGAAGTGAAGTTAGTTGAAAATGGGGTTCAAGATCTGGATGTGGAGAGAGAACTAATCCAAGTTATGTTAGGAGCCCACAATTTTTTTTAAGAATAATAATAATTTTTTTATTAATAGAAAAAAGATTACAAAAAGAGGTGACAAGATGGCACCTCAACAAAACACAGCAACTACAAAACAGAAAGTTCCATATTAATGACTGTTAAATTCTGGATTTCAAGTACATTCCAAAAATTCACCTCCAAACCTGTGTCCCTACTAATCATTTCAAACTCTGGGAGAACCAGAACACAATCCGAGACACAATGTCCTACTGAGGCCACCAACATCTAAATATTTTTGGTTTCTCTTCAAACAGCCTACTGTTCCTCTTGTTCCAAATGACCCAACACACAGCAAAAGGGATGCAACTCCAGACTATTCTTCCATATGAAATTTTTGACAGTGAAACTGAGAACGTGCCCATCTTTTCCCCTAGCTTCCTATAGACACCCAGATACATAGAATAATAACCCCCCCCCCCCCCCACGAAAGCCCCTGTGTCCAGTTCCAGCCACTCCCTGCCACCCTTCCCCCAAACCTCTTTCCTTCATATTCATGTTGAAAGTCTCTAACTTTGTTTCCTGGAGAAGGACAACCTCTGGTTTGAAACGTTTAATCAAATTCCTGACCACTGCTCTTTCTTTTCTTCTCTCTCAGACCCCTAACATTCCAGCTAAAAATCCTCATCTAGAAGATCCTGCCTGATCCCTACACCAGCTTGAGGCCCAAATTCTCACAAATCCTCCCCCAGAAACTCCTCCTCTCCCCCTTCTTTGTCCCAGACACTGCTCCTGAAAGGGCTTCCTCTCTCTTGCTCTTCTCTTCCCTCCTGGCTTTCTCAAACTGTTCAAAGGCCTTTCTTGCAAAATCTTCCCCTCCCTAGAAGAATAAACCCAACGATTTACCCACTAACACCTCCTTCTCAACTAAGGTATTTAAATCCATATTGCCCTTACATGCCTATTCCAAAATCCCTTGATCCCCTACCCTTCTTGCCCCTTCTGTCACTATCTCCCTCCTGTTTTTCCTCTATAGAGCCAGTTCGGTTCTCTACTTCTCCCTCGTCCCCTTCCAATCCAGAGTCAAGATCCCCCACTCTTCTCCTCCTGTTATAACTTCTTTTTCCCACCTCTTCCACGGCCTTCCTCTTCCTACTTTCCACCCCCACTTCATCGTCCTGGCTCCCATATTGTTCCACTGGGAATGTCTCAAGCACCGCCTTCTCAACTGGAAGCTCCTCAAAGATATCGATACTAACCTATTTTTCTAGCAAATCATAGTCAGGTCCCACCACACGTTCTGTGACTGTAGGTTTTCAAGACTGCTATTCAGTCTTGATCACTAAGAGATTTCAGGTTCGATGAGAAGAGAATGTGAAGAAGATGTAGAAGAAAGAGTGATGGAAGAG